GGCTATAACACAACTACCGTTGGTAGGCAAAGTTCCAGCACCTGCAGAATGGCCCCTGAAACTTCTTATAAAAATTTAAAAAATCATTTGTCCCTACATCAATCAGATTGTTAAACAAAGTAGGTATATAGTTTTTTGTTATGCACTGATGCTCTGGTCTCATTGTTGTGTTGTTTACTTGCTGGAATGTATGTGGGAATGTGCAACATGTGTTTTTATTGAATTGTGTGATTTTTTTAATAGGTGTTTTATATTGTATGCATTTTATGTGTATTTTATTAGGGGGTTCACATGATTTTATTGGTTGTAGTGTATTTAATTGTGGAAGTAGCTTTGTTAGCGCACAATGTCCATGACAAATTTCCCCTCGGGGACAATAAAGTATACATCTATCTATCTACATCTATCTTAGGTCCTTTTCACACTAGATAGTCCGGTAGACTCGGTTCGGTTCGGGACCAATATTCATGAGCTTTTGTTTACATTTGAGCTGGTGCGTTTGCAGTCACACTGCACTGTGCAGTCGAGTCAACCTGTTGAACCAACCTATTCCCCTGCTCGCCTGTGGGGGCGCTGCACCAAGAACTACTGAAAGAAACGACACAAAACCTCTGAAGACACGTCTTCTTCTTCTGTAAATAAAAATAAAAACAAAGTGGCATCAAGTTTTAGCAGTTTTAAGAGTTATATTTTGTCAATTTTCAAAAATGGACTTAGCATGAGCAGAAGATGAGACAGAAGACCATGGAGAATATTGTTTTTCCACACAAGGCAGCTGACGGCTCCATATGAGGTCAGAGCAATGCGTGTTTGTTTACCCTGCGGAGCGGGGCTCGGTCTGTTTACATTCACACTGCACTCGAACCGCGCTGGAGTTCGCGTCTACCGGACCGAGACCTAGGTTTTAGCCCAGGCCAGAGTTCGCCTTTTTGTTCCGTGACAGAGTTCGATGGCGCGTTCACACCTCCCTAAACGAACCAGACTTTCAAGGAAAACGAGCTAGAGTTTGATTAAAGTGGACTAAACAGGGCTAGTGTGAATGCACCCTTATACTCCTCCTGTGGGTTGAGTTGATTTTCAGCAGCTGCTGCCAATTAAGAGTGCTGAGGAGAGAGAGAGAGAGAGAGAGAGAGAGAGAGAGAGAGAGAGAGAGAGGCAGGAGAACTCCTACAATCACACCTCACGTGTTTGTTAAGGTCTTTGTTAATCTAATTCACAGATGATATCTTACCTCAACTTTATAACCCGAACCCCACACTCTCTTTGAATTGAGAAAGCTTCTCGGATGAGAAGCGAAACGTTTTCTATTACAAATAAAGTCCAGTGGTTTTTGTTGTGAACTTTTTTTAATTTACCATGTCCTGGATGACTGAGAATCTTCACCAGCAAATAATAATATTATATTTCTCCTTCTGTTCTTCTACACAGTATAACTCCTACCCACTTGATTATCTTGCACCAAAAACATCAAGATTTATTCTCATTCCCTGTCAAATTCTGGTCCAGAAAATTTTTTAAACTCATCTTCCAAACTACAGTTTGCTCTTGCTGAGGTCAGATGCTTTTACCTTCCCCTCCCTCTCCACTTTGCTTTGCTGCTCTGTCTGTCTGGGAAACTGCTTCTTAGCCTCTCTTGCATATCTTCCAAACCATAATTATGAACTTGTTTTGATCAGTTGGTCCCTCAACACAACTGATAACATTTCTTCGAAGAGAAGACAGGCTTTAGGCAAGCCGATTTGCCCTGTTGGCACACACGCAGCTGGATATCTCATCGACTTGGAAAACTTGATGATGTGTCTATTGCTGCTGCCATTTGTGGATTTTAAGGACGCATATTTAATTGGATTTTCAATAACTGGTTCCTGCTTTTTGGATTCAGCTGGTTGCTGGTTTTAGCTACAATCAAGGAAGTCGTCGGCAGCAAATTGGGACCCAATCACGCTGTTTGCCTTATGATGGCTTGGTTTGTGCCTCGAGTACTCAGACTTAATATATTTGGGCAGAATGGATCAGATCTCAGGGATTTTACTCAGGCACACTGTATAACATTGTGTCATCATTTCAGGACTCTTGAATTCTCATAGGCGTTATCCTTGGCCATTCCGTGACATCCCTCAAGAATGTTTATGGATCTCATCGGCAGAAACTGGCTGATTATTCCATCCTTATCAGAACTCTTACATTGCCCTCAAGAGTGTCCATGAATCATTGCTCACCACTCTCGTCGTCTCTCCCCTCTGCGGAATGTCTACGTCACTATGTGCTTGTTTGTACGAGGTGTTTTTTTTAATATTGGAGTTTTTCTTCTCAGCCAAGAAGAAAAAGTCTGATAGGATTTTTTTCGCCTCCGATTCCTACATGTGTCCAGTTTCATTACGTTTTGTCTGTCTAAACCAGGGGTGGGCAATTATTTTTTCCATGGGGCCACATGAGAAACAGAAAATATTGTGGAGGGCCGGCCAAAAGGCTGATCTCAATTCTGCATAATATTAACTCTATTTCTTTATAAAAAGCAGTAAATAGCATTGTTTTGACAAGCTGGTAAGAGTACATGTTATAATTAAGCAATGAAAACATGAGGTTGCCGTCCAAAAAAATGTAATTTATTCAAGCGAATTTCCCAAAACAATGGGAATGGCAATAAATCCCTAAAACAACATCATAAAAACACACAACACGTGCAAATAAAAATAACCACAATACAATTAAAATCATGCACAACTCAACCATCAAAACATCATTTAAAACTTCTTACATTTTTAAGTTGTTTTTTCTTGTTCAGTGAGAGAAATCTAGTCTCCTGGGCTTTAACGAGTGCATCAAAATCAGGTTGAATGTCTGAGGTGGAGATGCGAAGCACAGCTGACAGATGATCGTCAGAGAGAGATGATCTGTACCTGGATTTCGTGAACTTCATCATTGAAAATGTTTGTTCACATATGTAGGTAGAGCCAAAGAGAACCAACATCTTCTGAGCATGTCTCTTCATGTTTGGAAAGTTCTCCTCTTTGAGAGAAGAGTAGAAATCCAGTAGAGATCCTGATTTAAAGAGCTCTGCCAGTACTGCATCAGACTGCAGATCAATGAGTTCCAGCTGAACATCACTGGGTGCATTATCCACACTGCAGGTGAAGGGAGAGGAAATCATGTGCATTTCATCCTCGATTGTTCTGAGATCTTCAAATCTCCTTGAAAACTCACAATGCAATGCTCCTAACATGGAGGAGTACCTGCGGAGGTGATCGGCTGATGGTGTGACTTCTTTCAGGGTTTGCATGTGAGTGAGATTGTTGCTCTCCAGTTGGCTTGAAAGAAACAGCATCTTTTTCATGAAAGCCTTCACCAGGGTGTGCATTTCATGACCAAAAAGGCCCCTGCCTTGCAGTTTGGTGTTCAGGTCATTCATCAGTGCTGTCACATCAACAGCAAATGCAAAATCTGCCCTCCAGTCCTCATCTGAGAGCTCTGGGATGTCTTTGCCTTTCATCTCACAAAACTCTCGAATCTCTGTTTTCAGGTCCCAAACTCTTTTTAGCACTTTGCCCAGGCTGAGCCACCTGACAGGTGTGTGGTAGCCGATGTCACTATGCTCAGACTCATGGTCCTCCAAAAGTGCGACAAACTGTCTGTGATTCAATGCCCGTGCCCTCATGAAGTTTACTATGTTAGTAACAACATTAATAACATGGTTAATTTTTAGCACTGACTTGCACAACACATGTTGGTGTATAATACAATGCAAAAATACCAATTCCTGATCTGAGTCGATTTCAGCCACTTTATCTCGCATACGTTTTAAAAGTCCCACATTTTTCCCTGTAAGATTTGGACAACCGTCCGTTGTGACACCTGCCAGTCTGTCCCATTTCAGTCCCAGTGTGTCCATGCACGCATTCACCTCCATGAAGAGATCGCTCCCTGTAGTCGTCCCTTTCATCGATCGCATTGCTGCCAGCTCCTCCGTAATCTTGAAGTCCGGAGTGATCCCGCGGACAAATACGAGTAACTGGGCTGTGTCACGGACATCACAGCTTTCGTCCAAAGCCAAGGAGAAAAAGTCAAAACTTGCCACTTCACGTTGCAGCTGAAGCTCCAGATTCCACGATATGTCCTCAACCCTTCTCGTCACGGTTCGCCTGGAGAGCGGGACTTTCTCAAATGCTTCTTTTTTTTCAGGGCATATTAAAGCTGCGGAGTCCACCAAGCACTCTTTGATAAACTCCCCCTCCGAGAATGGCTTACTGTTTTTAGCGATTTTGTGAGCTATCACAAAGCTGGTCTTGGTTGCTGCATCCCTGGATGTGTGAAGCTTGGTAAAAAAGCCTTGCTGCTTTTGCAGTTTAGCTAGCAAAGCTTCCGATGTCCGCGCCTTTTCAGCGTCAGTCATGTTCTTGTATTTCTCCCCGTGTTTCGTCTCGTAATGCCGACTCAAATTGTAGTCCTTAAACACGGCGATCTGCTCCCCGCAAACTAAATACACGGCTTTACCCCTGACTTCAGTAAATAAATACTTAGCAGTCCATTTTTTGTTGAAAACCCTGCATTCTTCATCTTCCTTTCTTTTTTTAGCATAAGCAGACATTTCTGAGGGCTGAAGTCGTCTTGTGACTTGCTAGTGACAACGATCAAATCACGCGCATGTCTCAATATACGCTTTGCGTCATCATGTACGTAAATAAAAAAAACTTCAAAATAAAAGCATTGCAGCTTCAGTCCATGCATCAGGTAAAATAAGAAAATATGTTTATTTTGTAATTTCCAATTAACATTGCACGGGCTGGTCAGAGTCAATCAAAGGGCCGCATGCGGCCCGGGGGCCGTACAATGCCCAGGTTTGGTCTAAACAGATCTCACTTGTAAATGAGTCTTCTAGGCTCATTGTGACTTATCTGTCTAAATAAAGGTTGAAAAAAAATGCTCAGTCCACGTTCTAAAAAAAAAAAGGATTTTATGTAAGCATAGCACTTGCTTTATTGTTTCTTCTCTCCTTTCTTTAGGTCTAGATGGTGGAAGAACATTCTTCAATGCCGTAAAGGAGGGAGATACTGTGATCTTTGCAAGTGATGATGAGCAGGACCGTATTTTATGGGTTCAGGCCATGTACAGGGCCACCGGACAGTCCCATAAACCAGTGCCTCCCACCCAGGTCCAGAAACTCAATGCCAGGGGAGGCACAGCACCACAGCTTGATGCACCCATCTCTCAGTTCTGTAAGTTTTTTTTTCTTGTCCTTATTCTTCAGTTATCATCATCAACATCAACTTTATTTATAAAGTGCTTTAACAGCAGCCACAACTGAAACAAAGCGCTGAACATCAGTTTAAAACAAGACAAAAGAAAGTATAAAAACAAAGCTACACAGCCAAGCACACACTGAATTAAAAACTCAGTTTAAAACACAATAAAATGACGAGTTAAACAGATAAAATCAATACTAATAAAAATGAAATAAAATCAAGGCTCAGTTGGTTGAAGGCCAATGAGTAGAAATGAGTTTTCGTATGAGTTTTAAAAATGGACAGTGAAGGGGCCTGTCGAATGTGCAAAGGGAGAGCTTTCCTTAATTTAGGGGCACTAACGGAGAAGGCCCTGTCTCCTCTAAGCATCCTCGTACTCTTGGGAATGACCAGAAGGAGCTGGTCAGAGGACCTGAGTGACCGAGGTGGAGTGTAGTGGTGGAGAAGCTCTGTTAAATGGGGGGGGGGGGGGGGTCAAGGCTGTTTAAAACCTTAAAAATGAACATACAAATTTTAAAATGAACTCTAAAATACATGGGCAGCCAGTGGAGAGAAGCCAGGACAGGGTGATGTGCTCCCTTTTACGTGTTCCTGTTAAAAGATGTGCGGCAGCATTTTGCACCATCTGCAGATGTGTGAAGACTGGCTGACTTCGAGATAGAGGGAGTTACTGTAATCCAGCCGTGATTAAATGAAAGCATGGATTACTGTTTCAAACTGTTGCCTTAAAATAATAGATTTTACCTTTGCCAAATTTCCCAAATGATAAAAACCAGACTTGACTGTGGCCCTACCATTGATCCCTGAGGAACCCCACATAAAAATGAAACTTTCATATATTTCAGATTCTTTGCACACCAACTGAAATATTTCAGGTCTTTAATTGTTTTAATACTGATGATTGTGGCATACAGCTCATGAAAACCCAAAATGCCTGTCCCAAAAAATGAGCATATCATGAAAAGGTTCTATAAACAAGCTATTAACCTAACCATCTTAATCAACGACGTAACTCTAAACACCTGCAAAAGATTCCTGAGGCTTTTAAAAACTCCCAGCCTTGTTCATTACTCAAAACTGCAATCATGGGTAAGACTGCCGACCTGACTGCTGTCCAGAAGGCCATCATTGACACCCTCAAGCAAGAGGGTAAGACACAGAAAGAAATTGCTGAACGAATAGGCTGTTCCCAGAGTGCTGTATCAAGGCACCTCAGTGGGAAGTCTGTGGGAAGGGAAAAGTGTGGCAGAAAACGCTGCACAACGAGAAGAGGTGACCGGACCCTGAGGAGGATTGTGGAGAAGGGCCGATTCCAGACCTTGGGGGACCTGCGGAAGCAGTGGACTGAGTCTGGAGTAGAAACATCCAGAGCCACCGTGCACAGGCGTGTGCAGGAAATGGGCTACAGGTGCTGCATTCCCCAGGTCAAGCCACTCTTGAACAAGAGACTGCGTCAGAAGCGCCTGACCTGGGACTGCTGCTGAGTGGTCCAAAGTTAAGTTCTCTGATTACAGTAAATTTTGCATTTCCTTTGGAAATCAAGGTCCCAGAGTCTGGAGGAAGAGAGGAGACACAGAATTCACATTGCTTGAGGTACAGTGTCAAGTTTCCACAGTCACTGGGGCGTCATGTCATCTGCTGGTGTTGGTCCACTGTGTTTTATCAAGGGCAGGGTCAATGCAGCTAGCTATCAGGAGATTTTGGAGCACTTCATGCTTCCATCTGCTGAAAAGCTTTATGGAGATGAAGATTTCATTTTTCAGCACGACCTGGCACCTGCTCACAGTGCCAAAACCACTGGTAATTGGTTTACTGACCATGGTATTACTGTGCTCAATTGGCCTGCCAACTCTCCTGACCTGAACCCCATAGAGAACCTGTGGGATATTGTGAAGAGAAAGTTGAGAGACGCAAGAACCAACACTCTGGATGAGCTTAAGGCCGCTATCGAAGCATCCTGGGCCTCCATAACACCTCAGCAGTGCCACAGGCTGATTGCTTCCATGCCACGCCGCATTGAAGCAGTCATTCATGCAAAAGGATTCCCGACCAAGTATTGAGTGCATAGCTGAACATGATTATTTGAAGGTTGGCGGTTTTTTTTTTTGAAAGATTTGAAGCTCTCGACCTTGACCTCTCTAAGTGTCTTTAAGAATCTGTTGGACACCTGGCAGGGTCCAATGCTGACATGTTCCTGTTTTTAGTTTTTCTACATTTGTCTTGGAATCTAGCTGTTTTTTGTTTTGTTACCTTTTCCTTTTAGCCATCCTATTTGTTAAAAAAAAAAAAAAAAAAAAAAAACTGTAGTATGCTTGTTTATAACTGTTTTATTGTTGTTGCTGTTGTCCATTGTTGTCATCTTTCTTTGTTGAAATCAGGTCTCTCTTGTAAATGAGTCCACGAGGCTCACTGGGATTTACCTGTAGAAATAAAGGTTGATTGATTGATTGTATTAAAAACACTTGTCCTTCATTGGTGGGATAAAATATGCTAATTTTTTGGGACAGGCATTTTGGGTTTTCATGAGCTGTATGCCATAATCATCAGTATTAAAACAATTAAAGACCTGACATATTTCAGTTGGTGTGCAATGAATCTGAAATATATGAAAGTTTTTATTATTTTATCATTTTTATCATTACATTATGGAAAATAATGACCTTTATCACAATATGCCATTTTTTTTTTAGAAGGACCTGTATTGGATGATATTTCACAAAGCTTTAAATGTTGGAATAATGTAGGGGGCGCACTGGATTCAAAAGTTAAACAACAATATCAGTGTGTCTAGAAGTGCTCACTGATCGCGTACCCAAAATGTGGCGTAGCTCGGATGATATATCACTGAGATATAACTGATTAAATAATTTAGGGGGCACACTTGAGTCATATGTTAAACCACAATATCAATGTGTGTATACTTGCTCACTGATTATGCATAAAAAAATCTAGTTCCGATCGGTTCATGTATCACTGAGATATAAGTGTTGGAATAATGTAGGGGGTGCACTGGAGTCAAAAGTTAAAAAACAATACCAATGTGTCTAGAATTGTTTACTAATGAAGCATCCAAAATCTGGTTCAGATCAGATGATATATCACTGAGATATAGCTTTTGGAATAATCTAGGAAGCACACTAGAGTCAAATGTTAAATAACAATACCAATGTGTCTAGAAATGCTCGCATATGACGCCCCAAAAATCTGTTGCGGATAGGATTATGTATCATTGAAACATAACTGTTGGAATAATGTAGGGGGCGGACTAGAGTCATATGTTAAACCACAATATCAATGTGTCTAAAAATTCTCACTGATGATGCACAATAAATCTGGTGCAGATTGGGTGTTGTATCACTGAGCTATAACTGTAGGAATAATGTAGGTGGTGTTTTGGAGGCTATTGGCCACTTATGAATACATGTTCAAAGGGCGGATAATGATCGATCATAGTGATTTTTGTGCACCTTGGCTGAAATCTGTGCAATTTAGAGCCAAATGTATTGCAACGACGTCACTTCTTAATTCACCACGCCCACATCCTCAAGCAAAAACAGTTTGTGCTTTAAATCAAGTCAGACCATCTTATCTGTCTTCTAACACAGGATCATCCTGATTAGGTTCAATGGTGTAAAAGACGGAGCATTCCAAGTTTAAAAAGAGACTTCCTGTTCCCAGGAGCAGGGCTTTGATGACGTCAAAATATGCCAAGTTTCGTGCATTTCGGTCTTTTATTGTGAAAGTTATAGTCCAACATTTTTCAGTCAGGTAATCTGGACAGTTTCTTTTTTTTTTTTTGTGCTGAAACGTTTCGCCTTCGGTCCGGAAGACTTCATCAGTCAAGGAAACACACAACAAAACTGATTCTTCCTCCAACATCTTACTCCAAAGTGGAACAAGCCAGTTCTGCTTGTGATAAGATGGTCTCTTTGGCACGCCCCCTCCTCCATTGCCGGCCCTTTTCCTTGTTGACAGTCTTGTCAAACTGGTTGAAAACACCAAAGTCCATGCTCAATAATCCAGGTATACATTCTGAAAAATGTTGGATTGTACCAGTTTGACAAGACTGTCAACAAGGAAGAGGGTCAGCAATGGAGGAGGGGGCATACCAAAGAGACCATCTTATCACAAGCAGAACTGGTTTGTTCCACTTTGGAGTAAGCTGTTGGGGGAAGAATCAGTTTTGTTGTGTGTTTCTTTGACGGATGAAACCTTCTGGATCGAAGGCGAAATGTTTCAGCACAAAAAAAGAAACTGGCCGGATGATCTGACTGAAAAATTTTGGATTATATACCTGGATTATTGAGCATGGACTTAGTTATTAAGGGTATTACATTTACCAAAGCTGATGACTTCAGTTTTATTTTCATTTAAACTCTGAAAATTTAGTTTTAACCAGACTTTAATGTCATTTAGACAGTTCAAGTGTGGATCCAGTGGACTGACCCTGTCTGACTCAATCGGAAGGTATAACTGATCAGCAAAGCAATGAAAAGGGATGTGTTTTCTAAAAATGGACCCCAAAGGCAACATGTAGAGATTAAAAAGCAGTGGACCTAAAATAGACCCTTGAGGGACCCCACAGATCAGAGGAGCTGAAGATGAAGAATATGCCCCTAAATAAATAGAAAAACTCCTGTCAGCCAGGTAGGAGCTAAACCCGGATAAAACGGTGCCTTTGATACCGACCATCTTCTCCAGTTGTGACACCAAGATGTTGTGGTCCACAGTATCAAAGGCAGCAGAAAGGTCTAAAAGCACTAAAACAGCAGAGCTTCCTGCATCAATAGTTAAAAGAAGGTATTTAAAAGAAAGGGCTGTCTCTGTACTGTGACCTGATTTAAAACCTGACTGGAATTTTTCACTAATGCTGTTGGCAGTTAAAAAACTCTTAAGTTGGTTAAAAACAACTTTATCTAAAATGTTTGACAGAAAAGGCAGTTTAGAAATAGGTCTGTAATTTAAGAGCAGTG